TTATGATCATTATTCACAGAGTAATTAATTTGGGAGGCATGCAGCCCACTAGACCAATGGGATGCCCAGTTTCTTGTAAAACACATGCATGATCTTAGACCTTGATTTTTTTCTAATTTTTTTGCATCTCTCTCATTGGTGGGAGGAGGGGAGGTAGCTGAACTCTTAAGATTGAGAAGCTACTTGGGGGGACTAGAAGTGAGTGAGACTCATCCATACAATCTGAAAATATGTATTAGAATTTTGTTGAAAAACAGGCCCTATTCTAGTTCCAAGTATAAATGCTTCCCTGAGTTTATGTTCTTTTTAGCATTAGTAAAATTACAGAGATAAATTCAGATTTACAGGTGTAACAGAGAGCATGAAAGAGACACACATGATGCTGTAAGAAGCTTTCCCTAGGAGGTTTTCTTGATTTAAGAATACCTAGGTGAAAAAGGAAGGGAAGAATCTGGAACTGTCTGGAACCTTCCAGGCAGAAGGAGAAGCATACGCAAAAGTCAAATATGGTAGAAACAATGGGGAATAAGGTTGAAGATGTAGCCAGAGAGCTAGAGAGAGCTAGACCATGCAGAGTCTCATAGACCAAGAGAAGAGTTTTTTTTAAAAAATATTTTTTCTGGAAGAATTTCCAGGCCATTGAAGTATGTAATAAAATGGTGCTCTTCTATGAGATTGCCAGTTTCCCTGGTGGCTCAGCCAGTAAAGAATCTGCCTGCCATCAAGGAGACCTGGGTTCAATCCCCGGGTCAGGAAGATCTCCTGGAGAGGGGCCTGGCAGCCCACTCCAGTATTCTTGCCTGGGAAATCCCATGGACAGAGGAGCCTGGTGGGTTACCCACAGTGGGGTTGTAAAGAGTCGGACATGACTGAGCAACTAACGCTTTTTATGATATTTGCATTATAACAAATCACTCGGGCTGGTGGGGTGGAGGGCAGGGAAGCATAGCAAGAGCAGTTCAGAGGTAATTACAGTTGTTCAGGCAAGAAATGGACCTCTCAGACTAAAACGGTAGAGATAAAAAAAATGGGATGCATTTAAGAAAGACTTAGAAGCTTGAAAGAGTCAGTTTAGATATGGTGGGTGAGGGTGAGAAACAGGTCAAAGATGATTTCTGGGCCACTGAGTCAATGGAAATAGTGCCATTCTCAAGGATGCCTCCATGCATGCTCTTTGATGATTTTACTCCTGTTTTGCTTTTTAATTTATTTATTTCTAATTGAAGGATACTTGCTTTACAATATTGTGTTGGTTTCTGTCATACATCAACATGAATTAGCCATAGGTACACATATGGCCCCTGCCTCTTGAACCTCCCTCCCGCCCCATTCCACCCGCTAGGTGGTCACAGAGCCCCGGCTTGAGTTCCCGGAGTCAGACAGCAGATTCTCACTGGCTCTCTATCTTACATATGATAGTGTACTGAATAAATATTTAAATGCAGTGACCCAGACATTTTTGAGATCAACCTAAGGAGAAGTAAAGATTAAGGTTCATTTAATCTGTATTTAGTAGATGCATTCAAGTCATTTGCTGTCACTTGCATGGATAGCTATTGCTGGTTGTCTAGAAGTAAGAGGGGTTTCCAGGAACACTCCTACTGTTTCTGTCCTAGGTCACTGACTCTTAGATTCAAAGTCAGAAGTCTTGAAAATGTGGCCTAAGTGTCCAGTTTTCTTCAGCCCTTAATTAAAACAATTTCCTTTCTGAAGAGCTAATGCGCAACAAAGTTAACAATACTGTACTGCATAAATGAAATTCACTAAGCAGGTGGAGCTTAAGTCTGCTCAACACACACACACACACACACACACACACACACACACACGAGAGAGAGAGAGAGAGAGAGAGAGAGAGGAAAAAGAAAATGGTAATTATGTGAGGTGATCAGTATGTTAATTACTTGATTGTTGTGATATGAACATCAAAACTTCAAGTTGTACAACTTAAATATGCACAATTTTAACTTGTCAATTAATTATAAAATTGGGGGGAAATATCATACGCTTGGGCAACTCCCCTCAAATTAAAAAAAAAGCAGGATTTCTTTCCTTGTTGGGAATATACTTGATAATAAAACACAAGGATGAGAGGGACTCGATGGGAAGTTAAGATTTCCAAGGTGGAGCTGTTCTGAGTGCAGACCACGCCCAGGATGTAGCCTTGGAGGAGTGTAACAAAGAGGAGTGGAGGTTAAGCTTGTTGAAGTCTCAAAAGTCAAGAAAGCAAGATGCTCTGTGTTGGGTAGATTGCTCCCATAGCCCTTTTCTTGCCACTGCAAATTTCCATCAGTGCTTCAGGGCCAGCATCAAAGACCATCTCTGTAGTAACTTACCAATCATCTCCATTTCCTTCAGTAGTCATTGGGACACCCCTTCATCCCAAGAAAGTATATTTATGGAACTAGTGTAACTTCTTTATCAGCAGATTAATTCTTCATAGCTCTGAATAATGAAGACTATGTCTTATCACTTGGAACACCTCTAGAGTACTAATTCTCCATCTGCAGAGTACAAAATGACTACCGTATAGCTTGTTTAAAAGGCCAGCTGGCCAGATTATGACTTAGTAGGGCTGGGATGAAGCTTTATAATCTTAACATTAATAGGCATCTCCTATATTTCTAATGTAAGTATTGTGTGGATGTGATACAGATAGCACAATGCTCTGTGAACTGAACTATATGGGGTAAATTTAGTAGAATCTACTTGTAATGAAATTAGTAGACCATTAGTAGACGATTGTTTCTTGGCAGAAAGCTATGACAAACCTAGACAGTGTATTAAAAAGCAAAGCCATCACTTTGCCAACAAAGGTATGTATAGTCAAGGTTATGGTCTTTCCATTATTCATGTATGGATATAAGAGCTGGACCATAGAGAAGGATGAGTGAGTATGAGTGAAAGTCGCTCAGTCGTGTCCAGCTCTTTGCGACCCTATGGACTATACATTCCATGGTATTCTCCAGGACAGAATACTAGAGTGGGTAGCCGTTCCCTTCTCCAAGGGATCTTCCAAATCCAGGGATCGGACCCGGGTCTCCAGCACTGCAGGCAGATTCTTTACCAGCTGAGCCCCAAGAGAAGCCCAACACCAAAGAATTGATGCTTTTGAAATGTGGTGCTGCAGAATACTCTTGAGAGTCCCTTGGACAGCAAGGAGATCAAACCAGTCAATATTAAAGGAAATCAACCCTGAATACTCATTGGAAGGGCTGATGCTGAAGCTGAAGCTCCAGTACTTTGGCCACCTGATGAGAAGAGGACTCCTGACTTAGTGACTGCAAAACAGATGTGCAAGGTATGGAATTGCAGCCGTCGCTGCAGTTCAAGAAATGACCAGCAGGTGGCGAGCGATTCACACAACCCAGCAAGGAGGACGTCGCGTTTTCAGTTCGGTTCAGTCGCTCAGTCGTGTCCGACTCTTTGCGACCCCATGACTTGCAGCACGCCAGAACTCCCTGTCCATCACCAACTCCTGGAGTTCACCCAAACTCATGCCCATCGAGTCGGTGATGCCATCCAGCCATCTCATCCTCTGTCGCCCCCTTCTCCTCCTGCCCCCAATCCCTCCCAGCATCAGGGTCTTTTCCAATGAGTCAACTCTTCGCATGAGGTGGCCAAAGTACTGGAGTTTCAGCTTCAGCATCAGTCCTTCCAATGAACACCCAAGGACTGATCTCCTTTAGGATGGACTGGTTGTATCTCCTTTTACTGAGTCCCAAATCCCAAACCAAAATCTGCTCAGGCAGTCCAGTCAAGGGGAATCCTGTTTCCCAAGCAAAGTCTTAGTCAGAGTGGTGGTATTCTTTTCTTTGCATGTGAATCCCCATGAGACAGTGGCCCATCTAACTCCCAGGGCTAAAGTTATGCTGACCCTATAATTCAGCCTCTGGCCACTAGGAGCCTTAATCTTGGTACTAGCAAGGGCTGGTCTCTATCTTGAAACTCTGGATGAGGTCATGTGCCTTCTGAAGGTTCCTGCAGTAAACATCAGCAGAAGATGTTTGTCTGCTCGAAGAGGAAAGCTGTTGTCAGCAGAGGGGCAGATGGCTGTGCCTCTATTGTCTGTGTAGTTGTGTAGAGGTGAAGGTGGGGGGGGGGTGGGAAGGGGGTTACTCAGTCCCCTCATTTGGTAGATGAGGATAGTCTAGGAGAAGGTGAGCCTTTTGCCTAAGGGCACAGAGCTGGAAAGTTCCAGAACCTGGAGTCTGTCTGACTTCAAGCGACTTGCCTTTTCACTTCATTTGACATTCACTACAGGTGTTAAAGGTGTTTACTTCATTAGTGTCTGCTCATGAGCTGTCACACAGGAGAAGCTGGGAGCGACCATCTGGTTGGGGAAGAGGGCCTGGCTCTGTTTGCATCAACAAGTCCACTTTTTACCTGGGCTGTGTATTTATTTGCAGTAACCAGGAGGGTGACCAGGGGCAGGGGTTGGGGGTGGAGTCCACACTAACAGTCCACGAGGGCAGAGGGCAGAGGCTCTCCACTGTTTTCAAACTGTGTTTTAATGGATAGTCTTGTCTTTTACTCTTCCTTTTTTTGTCGGCTAAACTAGGTTACTGAAGGCAGATAGTCTTATTTATCTCTGATTATGTTCAATAGTTATCTGACGAATCAGTGAGCATATCCACCTTTATCATTTTGGGGTCAAAGCAATATTTTCTAACATCTGAGATGAGCAGGTCACCTCCTATGATGCCCGCATTTATTTAACAAATGTATAAAGTGTTCACTCAGTGCCCTCCACTGTTCTCAGCGTTTTACAAATATTAACTCATTTAATTTTGTTTTTATTGCTGTGTGTTGAAGGTTCCATGACAACAAATAACCATGTATCAGATTATACGCTCTTCCCCTCCCTCCACCTCCTCCCCTCAAAGATTCTGCAAATGCTAGGGAAGAGGGTGGGGAGGAAGGAAAGAGTTTACTGCCCCACCGCGGGGGCTTACAGTTGCTCAAGCGGACCCTGGGCCTTGGCAGCCTCGGCTTTCTAGCTAACCTGGTGCGAGCAAACTTTCCCCTTGGCCGGCGGGGCAGGCGTCCAGGGCGGCGCCGAGGTGCCGACGGCTCGCAGCCACCGGCTGATTTATAGGCGGGAGCATTCCCAGGCCGCGCCGCAAGGAGTCGGGCTGAGCTCGGACTTCAGGGAGGTGATGATGGACACCGGACACGTGGCCACACAATGGGGACACACGACTGACCTCAGTCACTTCGGCAAACTGCCCCTGCTTTCCGGAGACGGCAGGAGCGTTTCAGGAGCTCCAGCTCAAGGGCCCGGGGCGCCCGCTTTTCCTCTCCCCAGCAGGTAGCGCCCCTCGCCCGCACTGGTGAGCGCAGAGGGCACCCGAGGGCGTGCTGGGGCCCCCGGAGCTCTCAGAGGCCTCTGACCCCGAGTCTCAAAGTCCTTCCCCGAGGATGCGCGCCTCGGTGCCTTCCCTACTTGGCAAAGACAGACACACGAACCATCTCCGCTTGGGGGCTGAGTCTGGCCCGAACGCGCTGGGAGTCAACTTCCCTGGCAGGTCAGATAGAGACACTGAGGGATTTTGCCCTGGCACCAGGCGGCAGGGCCGGGTGAAAGACGAGGAAGGGTCCAAGGCGGGGTAGAGTGTGCGTGTTGCGTGTGTGGCAGGAGGTCAGGGGGATGTGAGGAGAGGGAATCAGGGGAATATGGGTTTGGGGACGCCTGAATTTGAGAAGAGGCGATCAAGTTGGGGGGGCGGGGGGGTGAAAAATAACCGGGCTTTTCTTTTTCTTTCCTGCGATATGCAAACTGTCACTTCGGGTTAGACTGAACCCTTATCTGGCTCATTAGCATGAGCTGTGGCTAACGCGCTTAAACCCTCTAATTATTTATTATGCCGTCACGGAGCGGGTCGCCACCCCGGGGCGCACTTGCGGGGACCCAGGCGCAGGGCGCAGGCTGGTTGCGCACTACCCGGCCCTTTTCGCCAGGGCCCCCGCGGGGCGCTGCTCCGGGAGGCAGCGTCGCAGAGTTGTTGGGGAGTGTATCAGAAGTGCCCTCTCCCCAAAACTGACCCTCAGGGAGGTAATTCAGCACTCAACTCTCGTCTGTACTCGCGCCACATCTTTTCTATTGCTAACCGAAAGCAAGATTTTTGCAAAAATGGAAGGCAAACAAGGAGTCGGGGATTTGGGCGCAGTGGTGTGTTGGATGCATCCTTTAAAGCGACCTCAGGGAGACCCTAAAGGATGCAGGAGTCCTCCTTTCACCCCCCTTCCCCACCCTAGGCCCCCACTCCCCACCGAGTTCCAAGAGAGTTCAGAAAGTTGGAGGGGGAGGGGGAGGACGCGCTGGGCTGACAGCCGGCCACTCACTTCCACGGTCTTATTCAGAAAACAGTTTCAAAATAAGTTAACCTCCGTCGGGTGTTTTTCCCCCCTCCCTTTCTAATTGTCCCCCCTTCCCCCTCCCGCTCTGCATTCGCGTCTGTTTTCTGTTCTTCTGCGTTGTGCCAACTATTTTATCTTTATTCCTTCTCTTTCTCCCTGGCCATTCATTCCTTTTTTTGTGTGTGTGGCTTCTCCGGGCTGATGTGCCGCTCGTTACCACCCACTGCACGCTCGCTCCTGTCGCTGAGGTGTTTCTATACAAACCGGAGCGTCCAGTTGTCATATTAATTATTACACTGAGTAATGACTGAAATGGTCAAAATAAGGGGAGAGTCGAGAGCGCTTTTTCTTGCTGCTCAAAGATTCAGCAAAGAAGCCGTGCAACAAAGCACTAATTGGTCCCCAGAAGCACTCGGACAAGGCGCGGAAGATAGGTTTCATAGAACCCAGGGATTGTGAAGGGGGGAAAGCGCTGAATGGACCCCACGCTCCCTTTCTAAACTCTCTTGCTGAGCAAAAAATGGACCTCTGTTTGAATACTGCCCCGATCCTTGAATACTATACCCAGCAGAGAAAAAATGCACCATTTATTGTAAGTTTTTTTTTTTTTTCCTTCTCCAGCTATTCATGGGTTCTCTGTGAAGAATCAGCTGGTTTTGTTTACCGTGAAAGACCTTCACTTTATTTCCTTTCTTGGAGGAGGTGGGGAAGGGGGGAGGGGAGGAGGGCCATGTGCCTAGACCTAGAGGAGCTGGCCTACTGTAACAAAATAGGGTGTAACAAATCCTACAAAAGTTCAGAATGTATTGGTGCTTTGGAGAGCTATATAGATTAACGACTTTCTTTATGCTTATCCGAGGAAGGTATTTAATCATAATGTAAATGGGGCTTTAGAAAAAAATAAATAAAGACTTTGCAGCATCACTTCTTATTTGAAGAACTTCAAAAGGATTTGTGAGGGTGGCTGCAAATTGCCCCCTTCCCTTGCTGCAGCTCCCCTCCCTCACCAAAAAGCCACGAGAAAATAATAGTTTGTGCTTTTTTTGTTTTGTTTTTCCAGCTTTGCCCCCTCCCCTCCCTTTGTAGGCGTATTGAAAAAGCAAATAGATGGGTTAGGAGCCTGGATTCCTTAATGCAGGTGCAGGCCTGGCTGCTGCGACCCAGTGGCTCAGCCAAATCCCCTCCCCTACTCCCACAGGCCATCCCCGTGGCTGGTAGACTCAGCCCAGGCTGGGCAGCTTCTGAAGTAGCTTTGGGTAGGGTGCCTTGGAGAGTAGACTTCACAGTAATGAACTTTTCCCTGGGTAGGACAGTGTCAGCTCAGGTTTGGGGCAGCCAAGACCCCAAGACATTTGATAGCTACTGGGAATGGGATGTCTGCTATGAATTTCCTGCACACTCACTTTTCTCAAAGTTCCCCTGGTTTATGGGGTTCACACTCCCCAACACTGAGGGTTGCACCCCAAATTTCCCGTTCAAGTCAAGGCTCTAAGGCCTGTGTTCATCTTTGCACTCTCTTTGTCCTTTATTCAGGGTCCACTCTAAATAGGATTCTATTAAATGATTCCTTCAATGGGAAACTAGTTTCACTTTTAACATGAACTCCTTTCCCTCCAGAGAAAAAGCACAGAAGCCACTGTGAGAAAGCGATGAGGCCTGTCTCCTTTCCACAGAGAGAAGCCGGACACATAGGCAGCAGGAGTGCAGCCTGTAAGAACAGGCGGCCTGGCTTCCAACTAAGGTTGGGAAGAAGGTGGCAGAAGATTCAGGGCCCCAGCACCTCATGTGTCCCGGGTAGCTGATCCCCATGCATCACCAGGAACATCAATTTCCCATGCAGATCCTGGTGTTGAACGCAGTTTTCATCTAAGGGATGATCTACCTCCAGGATTCCCTAACATAAAAGAGGGATCTGGAGATCCAGAAACTAAGACCTTATAGCAAGGGAGGAGAAAGAGTAACCTCCCCACCTCTCTGGGTGTGTGTGCATGCTCAATCACTCAGTCGTATCTGACTCTTTGCCCCTAAAGACCAGACCATCGCCCACCAGGCTCTCTGTCCATGGGACTTCCTAGGCAAGAATACTGGCATGGGTTGCTAGTTTCTCCTCCAGGGGATCTTCCCGACCCAGGGATCGAACCTATGTCTCCTGTGTTGGCAGGCAGATTCATTAGCCATGTAGGAAGCTCTATATTCTGAGGAATTCACACAAAAGGGGGTCAGAGACCTGCCTTCCTATTAAAACAGTGGCAACCCCTGTAAGCTGTGGAGGGATCTGAAAAGTGAATTTACAAACAACATCCTATTTCCTTGACAGGCAAACAAAGGGAGTGCCACTACTCCATTTATGGATGAAAGTATGGAACCCTGGGGGTGGCACTAGTGGTAAAGAATCCGCCCGCCAATGCAGGAGACATAAGAGACGCAGGTTTGATCCCTGGGTCAGGAAGATCTCCTAGAGGAGGACATGACAACCCACTCCAGTATTCTTGCCTGGAGAATCCCATGGACAGAGGACACTGGTGGGCTACAGTCCATAGGGTCTCAGTGAGTTGGACATGACTGAGCATCTGAGCACTTCACATGGAAGTTATCTTCTTCTCCTTCCACTTCTAGATAAATGGGACCTTGAGCATCCCTGTCAAGTGAAGCCTGGAGATTTGCACTGTCAGGCCCACTGGGTGTCAATGGAGCATCAGACAGCTGAAGGGCAGGGCCACTGGCTCTGCTGAAGCCCATCCCTGGGCTGGCCATGAAACTTGTATGTATTTGATTTGACTTGTTACTGTTTGTGTGTATTAAAAAAAAAAATTGGTTTCTCTGTCACCAGCATTTGCCAGTGAGCATCACCACCATTCCTCAAAAAGGACAGAAATGACTCCCAGATGCTGGGACAGTGGGACACGGTGGCATTGACTCTCCAAGGGCTGGAGCATTAGGGCAGTGTGGTTCTAGGAAGCTGGGGGTCAAGCATCCTCTTCCTACAAACCCTTTCCTGGATGGGCTCTGTGAGCAGGGCCTTTCTCCTTGTTTGAAAAAGGCCATTAAAATTCATCACTTTCTGTCTGACCTCCTCCTGAGCACTCCAGGGACATCTCTTAGAAACTCACACCTCTTGGAGGTAGGTGCTCTAACCATGGGCATGTAGATGAGGAAACTGAGACGCAGAGTGTCCACTAATAGCTCAAAGTTGCAGTTCTTAAGTAACAGCCTGGATACCAAATCGAGTCCCTCTGCCTTAACCCCTGTGTAAAGGCTGGAGCCCCCGGGGCCTGGGGCAGGAAGTGGCAGCTCCCTTAGGTGTGTGAGTGTGTGTGTGTTGGTGCAGGGGTGGGGGGTGGGGGGCTGGGAGCACTCTTTGTGTTTACTTGAGTAGGAGGAAGAGAAAGCCTGGAGATTTGGCCAAGCCTATAAGGAAACAGGCTGAGGATGCGGGAGTAGGGAGGGATTTTGGCTCGGGACTGGGGAGGGAAGAATAGGGACAAATGTTCTGTGGCTTTGGCCGGAAGGATCGCAGCACCCGCTGTCTTTGCTCCTGGGTGGAGGCCAAAGCGTAGGGCCACTACAATGCGCGTCTTCACTAGTTGGCGCTTCTATTTGAGCGCCCATTGCATGGCGTGTGTGTGTATGTGTGTGTGTGTGTGTGTGTGCACATGAGCGCGTGCGTGTGTGTAAGGTTGGGAGTAGCCTCTGGCCTTGATATCCCTGATAATGAGGATCTCTGTGTACCCGTGGAGCCCGCACTCTGGAAAGAAACTGAGAAGTGCTGGCCATTAGCAAATTTCCCTGCTCCCAGACGTGTTTCTAAATGAGCTGGTGGATGCGTGTCTGGTCCATAGAGACTGTTCAAGGTCACAACTTGAAACGGTGGTGGAGCCGGGATTATCGGCCTTTGCCAAGTGTGGAAGAATAGGGTCTGAATTGGAATGGAGCTCAAGGCGCAAGATGCAGCCTAAGGTGAAGGAAAATGCACCTCGGTGCTTTGCTATTGGCTACCCGCCCTGCACCCTGCCCTCATCTTGTTTTCCTAAGGAGGAGAGGACGCCGCCTAGCGGCCTCCCCGACGTTCCCCGCGGGGGCAAGTGGGTGGCGGGATGTGCCCGAAGGCCCTTTACTCTGCCGGCTGGTCCGAGGCTTCCTCCTGTTAGAAAGCGTGGGGGTGCGCCTCTGCTTTAGGCCTCATGGCCTCTTGTCCTTCCCAGAAGAGGAGACAAGCGTAATCTGGGCGCCCTCTCAGCTCCAAGGCCAGAGGACGGAGTTCGACTCGGTCCTGTCAGGGTCAGCGGGCCACAGGTTCCCGTCGGGGAGAAGGCTGTGTGGGTGGGAGGCTTACAGAACTGAGCTTTGTTGGCACCATGCAGTCCTATATTTCCTAAACCCGTCTGTTTCAAAAGAAGAAGCTGAGGCCGAGAAGAGAGGCGATTCATCTCCGGAGCCCCCTCACCCCCAGCTCTCGCAGCCACTCACACATACCAAAGGAGGCTCCCAGGGTCACCCCCACGATCTTTTAGAAAGACCCATCTCCACAAAGGTCAGTTCAGTGAGAAGCAATTCTTAGGATGCCTCACCACCAGCATTCCTGCACCCATAACCCGAACTGCCTATTTCTAGTGGACAAATCAACCAGATGGTTACCCTCTGCTTTTTCCAGTCGACGTAAAGGCGACCTGGGACGCGCCCCAGTTGACTTCTTCCCTCAGGGGAGCGGCACAGAGATGAGACCCGTGGCTCCGTCTGCGTCCGCGTTCCCTGCAGTGCCGTGTCCCAAGGAGCCCCGAAGCTGGACCAGGCTCTGGCCAGAGAGGGCCAGGGCCGAGGGCCCAGAAAGGGCGCCTGGGTGGGCGCTGTCCAAGCGGCCGAGCGGCGGCTGCAAGCGTCTCCTCCCCCCTCGCGGCGCCAGCACGCGGCCGGGCCGGGCTCGGCTCCCAGTCGCCTGCCACCGGCCCGCCGGGCACACGCCTGGGGCGGGATGGAGGCCGCGCCAAGGCAGCCGAGGTGCCTGCGGCGGCGCCGAACTGCGGGCGAAGCTGCTCCCCCAACCCCTTTCCCCAGCTCCATCACCGCCCCCATCTCTTTTCTCAGATCCCCCGTGGGTACACGCCAAAGCGCTCTCCTCTTTACGCATCCCCCTAGCCGGTCTGGAAATAATCCTTGCGCTGGGGGCGATGCTACAGGCGGGAGCTCACCCTGGCAGAGTATCCATGCTTCAAACACCTGTCTAAGTGCTGATCACAACGCCTCTCAGTGCGATCACCTCCCTTCTTGACCTCCTCCACACTTGTTCAGTTTGCGGGAGCATAGTCTAGTTCTCACAACTGGATGGTACATTAGAGACCACCCCACCCAACCTTCTGTGGTTCCCGATGAGGAAACTGAGGCTCGGTGCGGATGCCGCGCAGCAAGGGTCACAGAGTTAGTGAGAGGATGCCTTGGTACCAGAACGTAAGTTTTAACCATCACTTAGTTCCACGGAGTTCTCCCCATCTTTCTGAACTTCAGGAGCTAATTTGCTTCTGCTCCCAACGACATCGGAGCCCCCCCCCCCCCCAAGAGAGTGGCCGTAGGGTAGGAGAAGAAAACAGGAGTAATGGAGCACCACTGTCCCTAACCTGAGCCGTGCGCCACTTTTTACGCCCAAACCCTAGCCTGTGCTTTTCCCAAGTTTTCAGGAGAATCCCGGGACACGTCACCCCACACCTGTCTACCCCTCCACCTCCAATTTCCAGAGCTCTTTGCCTATCCGGCGACGCTAGCCCCCCGTTTTCCAGAACCACCCCCCGGCTGCAGCCCGCCCTGAGCGCGCCGCCTGTTTATTCAGCCGGGAGTCCGGCACGCGCCAGGCGCACGCACTGCAACAACAAACCCGGCTGAATGGAGAGTTTGCTAGGGACGGGCGCAGGGGACGGGCGGGGGCGGGGTGGGGGGGAGGGGAGGGGGGGTTCGGGGAGTGGGTGGGAGGAGGCGGTAAGAGGAGGGGGTGCGGGCTGCAGTCGCTCGCTGCAGCAGCGGGGAGTGGGGGGCGAGGCGGGGCCAGCGCTGCGCGTGGGGCTGGGTGTCCCGTTGAAAAGGCGGCCGCACTCCGGCCGCCCAGCACTCTCTCACTTCTGGCCAGGGAACGTGGAAGGCGCAGCGACAGGGAGCCGGCCAAGGAGGGCGAGTGAAAAGAAGGAAATACGCAAAGAAAGGGGGTTAACCAAATAACACAAACAGCCCGAGTCGCGGCTGGAGAGACCGGGCGCAAGAGCGCGCAACCCTCAGGGGAGAAGAACAGAAGACAGCAGAGCGCACTCACCGCCGACTTTTGCTTCTGCTTCTGCTTGCTTTTAAAAAAAAAAAAAAAAAACCAGAAGGCGCTAGCGGCAGCCTCACACGCGAGCGCCACGCGAGGCTCCTGAAGCCGACCTGCGAAGGGGGGAGGGGAGGAGGAGGCGGGGTGGAGGGAGGAGGGGACGGATTTGCACCTTCCTCGCTCCCACCCTAAGAAGTCGCTCCCGGGGATTTTGTATTTCTGTAACTTACCTCGGGACTCCAGCTTTCTCTCTCCCCTTCTCTCCCTTCTCTGTTCGTGCCCCTCCCCGGTCCTGTCTGTGCCCCCCTAGCGTGCGCCCCGCACCTCGCGTCCCCGCTCGCTCCGATCGCGCGACTCCTTGGCCGCCGCGGTGCATGGAGAGCCCTGCCAAGATGGAGAGCGGCGGCGCCGGCCCGCAGCCCCCGCAGCCCTTCCTGCCGCCCGCAGCCTGCTTCTTCGCCACGGCGGCACAGAGCGCGCAGCCGCCGCCGCCGCCGCCGCCGCCGCCGCCGCCGCAGCTGAGCCCCGCGGCCGACGGCCAGCCCTCAGGGGGCGGTCACAAGTCAGCGCCCAAGCAAGTCAAGCGCCAGCGCTCTTCGTCGCCCGAACTGATGCGCTGCAAACGCCGGCTCAACTTCAGCGGCTTTGGCTACAGCCTGCCGCAGCAGCAGCCGGCCGCCGTGGCGCGTCGCAACGAGCGCGAGCGCAACCGCGTCAAGCTGGTCAACCTGGGCTTCGCCACCCTGCGGGAGCACGTACCCAACGGCGCGGCCAACAAGAAGATGAGCAAGGTGGAGACGCTGCGCTCGGCCGTCGAGTACATCCGCGCGCTCCAGCAGCTGCTGGACGAGCACGACGCGGTGAGCGCCGCCTTCCAGGCCGGCGTCCTGTCGCCCACCATCTCCCCCAACTACTCCAACGACATGAACTCCATGGCCGGCTCGCCGGTCTCATCCTGCTCTTCGGACGAGGGCTCCTACGACCCTCTCAGCCCCGAGGAGCAGGAACTGCTCGACTTCACCAGCTGGTTCTGAGGGGCTCGGCCTGCTCAGGCCCTGGTGCGAGTGGACTTCGGGAGCAGGTAGGCGACGGGGGGGCTGGACCGGGGGGTTCGCTAGCCCTCATTCTTTTCCTTCTATAGCAGGGCGACTGCCCCCCACGGAGATGAGGGGAGGGGTGGATTGAAAGGTTTTGTGAGTTTGTCCTTTTCAAATACTGGCGTGCAAGTTTCAGCCTTGGCTTCAGAGAACGGCGGCTTTGCCCAGGTCTTCAAGGACTTGCAGGGTAGGTAGGGGTACCCAGGTGGGGTAGCGAGAACTAGACTTGTCAGAAGGGGCGCTCTACCTGGCAGATCCTCCTGGGACTCCACTTCCGCCCACCACTAGCCTCCAAGTTCACACTAACCTCTCCCCTTCTTCTTATGTTATAGGGCCTGCACAAGCTGCATCTTTAGTGCTTTCTCCTCGGCGATGTTGGAAGGGAGAAGAAAGAAGAAGAAGAGAAGAAGAAGAAAACAAACAAATCCAGGCACCCCACCCGCTACATCAACCAAGCGCCGCCCCCCTGAGAAGCAAGGCTCTCGCAAAACAGGGATGGGCTCAGAATAGTATCTTTGCACTCCAATCATTCCCGGAGATAGAGTGACTAGGACCCTAGGATGACTGGGATGCACAGATTGCAGCTGGTGTGCAAAAGCAGTGGGTTCCTGGCGTCTGGGAGCAGCACACGCCCTGTAGGAACTCCCACCCACCGCTAACAGGCAGAGCTGACCTCCCCGCCCTCTCTTGAAAGCCAGTTCTTTGGCCCTCTAGAAATGGGTTGGTGTCCTTCATCTGTATGCCCCACCCTGATAAAGCTGTGGACGTTCGTCTGCAGCGAAAGTACGGTATTTGAAACCCCGATCCTCTGGGGGTTTTCAAAACCCCCAGCCTCTTGGGGCCCCCCTCCCCAAGCTTCACTCCCTCACACCATCTTTTCCATCATTTTCATCATAGAATGCTTCCAATCTTTTGTGAATTTTTTTTATTATAAGAAAAATCTATTTGTATCTATCCTAACCAGTTCGGGGATATATTAAGATATTTTTGTACATAAGAGAGAAAGAAAGAAAAAAATTTATAGAGTTTTGTACAAATGGTTTAAAATGTGTATATCTTGATACTTTAACATGTAATGCTATTACCTCTGCATATTTTAGATGTGTAGTTCACCTTACAACTGCCATTTCCCCTATGTGGTTTTGTAAAGAACTGTCCTCATAGGTGAGATTTAAAGGCCATCGGATGTACTTCAGCACCAATGTGTCTTACTTTATAGAAACTTTGTTAATGTATTAATGATGTTATTAAATACTGTTCAAGAAGAACAAAGTTTATGCAGCTACTGTCCAAACACAAAGTGGTAGCCAGTTGGTTTTGATAGGTTGCCTTTTGGGAAATTTCTACCACTGCCTTTTTTTTTTCTTACTGTTTTATTACAAACTTACAAAAGAAAATACCCCGTGTATAACCCTGTTTTATACAAACTAGTTTCGTAATAAAACTTTTTTCTTTTTTTACAAATGAAAATAATCAGCTGCCTCCAAGTCTTCTTTGATGTTACTGCCCCATCCAAGTTATTATCAAAATGCCAAAGGGAAGGGAGGGGGAGAGGGTGGTGAAAGACGCTAAGTGGCAGAAATGTCAAAGATAAGTGCTGTGACCAGGCCTATCCGAGGTGACTCTATGAAACCTGTGCAAAGAGATATATCTCTACCTGTATATCTACATATATAGATATACAGATAGTTTTCCTTGACGTTTATGGTGCAAATGTATGCAGACACCTAGCAAATAGGTGGTGATTAACAGCTGCATCATCTTTTGATGAAATGACTGTACACTGAAAAAAATACCCCCCCAAAATGAACTGGAAGGAGAGGGTCCTCACCCCACTTTCCAACCCTTAGTCCCATTCTGAGTTTCTCATTGTGAAACTGTGGCAGGTCTGGATGAGATGATGAACATCAGGAGTGGGAGAAAGGATGGGGGTGCCTGAGGCTGGGTTTGGGGGAGGTAGCCCTGTCCACACTGCCAGGGGTGGGCGTGTTCTCCCTTCACCGCCAGCCATGCATTTGCTACTCCTTTCTCCCACCGCACACACTGTCCATGTCGGTTTTAAGTAAAGGGTACGTATGATATAAATTTCTTACTGGAGTTAGATTTAAATAAATAAAAGCCTTAGAAATGTGTGGTAGCTTTGAGACACTGGGCTATCTAAGCTTGTGACTCTATCCGAATGGTGTGAGTTGCGTGTAAAAGTACCCAATTACCAAGATTCAAAAAGAAATTGGTGGGTTTTTGGCTGGCTTGCTTCTTGTCAGTTAGCAAGGACGTGATCAGAATCCCACTCCACCTCTTGTGGGCTCCTCGCTCGCCGCTTGCATTACTTGCAGATTCAGTTAGCGTGTCTCCAGCCAAGCGGAAAGCCGAGCGCAAAATGCATCTTACAAAACCCAACAAAGAGCCGGGGGCCAGCACGTCTTCCAGAGTTAAAAATCTAGTCTGTGTTGGTACATCTATACCATTTAGTGGCACAGAATAATCATTTTTTAAAGCCGCGATGCGCAGAGCACGCCCCAGCGTCTGATGTCATTTTGCTAAATGACCCTCTATAGAATGCACATTGAGGCTTCAGTCCCTTTCAAAGAGATGAGCGTAATTAAGGGGGGGAAAAAATCAGTAAATTCCTCATAGCCATAAATAATCGGACTTTCTGCCAGCAGTGGGCCAATTTAGAGCTTACTTGAGGGAAGTAATGCTTTTGAGATGCCTGCTTTATTTTTATCTTCTCATTTGTTGCACCGGACCTCGGTCCCCCCCCCCCCCACCCTTTCCCGACCCTCATGCATTTCCTTTTTTCTTTTAATTTAGCTCCTTTGCAAGTTTCCAGATAAGGTACGCAAAGAAAGTGTAGCAAGTCATTTATGGCTATGAATATAACATTAGGATAATGTTTCAGCCCCCACAAAGGGGATTTTTTTTCCCCCGTTCTTGTGAAGACAGGTGTTCTTTTACTCAGTTCTGAATGGGAAATATCCAGTCTCGTTAAACTCGTGGCAAAGTTAGCCGTTGTTTGCCACAATGCGGAGGCAAACTCTAAAAATTCACAAAAACACACAATTTTGCCGAAGCTAGGAAAGGCAAAGCGGGGATTGGGCAAAATCTCATTACATCTGCTCTAATCGCTTAGCAACACAAAGCCGGGGCTTGTGCGGCGAAGGGAAGCCATTCAGGCCGCTCTGACAGGCCGCATTCAGCCAGCATTAGTCAGCTCCATAAATCACCGCTGCCCATTGGCTGCGCGGCGGGCTTTGGAGCGGCCCTGGGCTGTCAGCGAAATACAAAATGTAGACCCCAGCGGCTAGCAGTAGCGGCCTCTCCCCAGCGTGAGCCCCCTCTCCTGCTTTCTTTTTGGGGAGGGAGATGCTGGAGGAAGAACTGCCTTGACTTTATTAACTTAGAAATCTTAACTAGTCAAAAAAAAAAAAAAAAAAAAGAGCCTGGAGACGACCGAGTTAAGACTGGAGTCGCCTGAAATTGACCAGGAGGAGCAAGCAGGCGGGAGAGGAAAGATAAAAAATAGACTCGCCGCTGGCCGCAAAACTGTTGAATGCGAGTATTATCAGAGGCTGTACTGGAGCTCCTGGGACGCACATCTCATTTCCCTGACACTACCTTTCAAAATTTTAAATTGCGAAGAGGAGGATGTGCGTGGAGTGGAGAAATATCTTCGGCTATCAGACGGGCCCACCAAAGAAGAGGGAAAAATAACCGGTCTGTTCTCTGCCTAGAGCATCAAAGGGCTAGGACTGAGAAAGAGGGAGTACAATGTGCGTTATCACTTCACTGTTCTTGCAAAGTTGGGGATGTGAGATGAGAGAATCCACATCTCCTTCTTGTTTGCAACATGTGGCTGGTGGTAGCCACCGCAGCAACAGGATGCTATGTAAAAGGACTTAGCACGTGGCCTTGTGGGGGAGATTACAACCTATATGTAAATGTGAGCACCTGGTGTTGTTATTCTAGTATCTCACTTTCACAGGGACTGGTCAGTTAGTTGATGCATCCAAATCAACCTAGATTTGAGGTTTACCCACAGGAAAAAGAAACCTGTGAATAGAGGTAGTCTTTCCAGGGAAGCCCAGCCCAACTTACCTCAAATGCCACCTCTTCCGAGAAGCTTTCCATGATCATCCTATGTAAAGCAGCTTTCTGCTGGCTATAGTCACGCTTTATCCATTTTTCTGTTTCTCCTTCCTGCCATCTACTACTACGCAAAAACCAAAAACAAAACAAACTCCAGCAAACAACAAAAGACCACCTATTTGTTTATGCAGTTGCTGTCCGTTGCCCCCTATTGGAAGGTAAACTCCACGAGGACTGGGAGCTTACTTGTCTTGTTCTCTGGAGTCCCTCCAGCTCCTACCCTGCTCTGCCTCTTCCTTGCATACAAAGGAAGTAGGAATATAACTTCCACCTGAGCTTAGAGCCCAGCCCTCATCATTCCCAGTGGGAAAAGAACATTAGTGTCAGTGAATCCACTTCCCTTCCTCCCTTTGACTCTAGATAACCTGGAGTTTCTGGGGAAATCTGAAAACAGATCATTTCTGGGTCCAGGATTGGAGAGAAGAAGAAAAGAGTTCAGAGACTTCTCAGCAACTGGAAAAGGAAAACAGCTTGGAGGGCACTAGGTACCCCAGAGAAGCATCCATTGTGTTTTGAAAACAGGTTGCCATAAAACGAGCTGAGAGACTTCACTGTAGAAGATACAAATTAAGACAATTAAGTCCTAGAGATGTTGACTAACCTTAATCATCTGCCCTCCGCTTTTATCGATGAGTGCAGACATGGACGAGTGAGTGAACGGGTGAATGAAAGCAAGAACAGCTTCCCAACAGCACCATGGTCTTAGTGGCAAGACCCCTTTCTTCCCTAGGTCTCCCTTGCCCTCTGGCTTCCTGTTGGGTTTGGCCACTAGGAGGCGCCACTAGGAG